GGTGCTGCAAGATAGGGAAGCTGTGGACAAACCTTCGCCAGTGTGGGTTGACTGGGCCCTGTTCTGTGCTCACAGCCACTTGCATCTGTACCAAGTGTCCTTAACTGTGGCTGCTCTTAAGCAGCCCTGAGGACAGAGAAGCCCAGTGAGGTGAGTGATAAGCAGTTGGCCTTTCATACGAGTTTGGTCCATTTGGTCCATTTGGGTTCCGTTTATGCCTCACCCCTGATTTTAAAAGGGGATGGGGGTGCAAAATCAACCCCAAAGTTCTCCTGTACTCCTTGGTGCAATGCCAGTGTCCAGTGAGCTGGTGTGTAAAGGACAGACCCTCCTGTTGACCCCATGTGTATAAAGGGGTTAGGACGGTAACTGTTGACCGCCACCCAGGCCAAGGTTTTCTAGCAGCTTTCTGGGGGACCATCATAGATGGTGACGGCCACACCCAAGGTGAATAAACTCCTCTACCTTAGTTTGGCTCTAAAGCACACACTATGGACTGCTTCCTGCCTTGCCCTACTCTGTGCCCACTGCCCTCCCTCAACCACCCCCTCCTCATAGGAACCGAGGCAAGTCCTACACTGCTGATGTGGGGCAGAGTGTGGTTGGAGGACATTATTAGAAAGTATAGGGGCTGAACAGGGCTTAAATGGTCAGTTAGTGTGTCTTCAAACTTAGCAATAATTAGAATTATCTGGGGAACTGAGAAAGTTTTGAGTCAGTGTGTGTGAGGGTGGTGCCCATGGATGGGTACATCTCCCATAGTCCATATGACTGATAATCAGCCTCTGATATCAGCTATTCATGACTGATAATGAGGGGTCCATCCCTTCATTTTCCTGTTGAGAACACTGTGGACCAGAGAGATGAGGTGCCACAGCTGAGCCTACTTGGGCCTGCCAGAATCAGTGTCAGGTCCTAAGTGCGAACTCTCAGCAGCTACTTTCTTGGGCCTCTTGCCCTGGGCTCTTTGGTTTCTGTCTGCTAGAGTCCAAGGAAGGCCCCAGCCTTAACTGGTTGTACAAACCTGGGCAGGATGCTGCCGCATGACAGAGACCCCAGAGGAGGTGATCTGACAGGGCCTCATTCCCTAAGAAGATACGCCATGGTGTAGGGGTCCCTGCCCCAGACCAGGCCTGGCCAGAGCCATCCTTGTCCACAGGCCCGGTTAGTCCCCAGGGACAGGCTGCTATTTTGCTCTGCTTGTGAGTGGTGGGTCATGCCTAACTTGAGAGATTTAGTGAAATGTGGACTTCGCTTCAATAGGGAAAGTTCTAGATCAATGGTGATGGTGAGGACAGGCTTAGTCCACAAAATTGTAGCTCATATTTAGGGGAAGTGGGCTAGGTGACATGCCCTGCACTCCAGTTGGTATTCTAAGTTGCTTTTGTTTGTTGCATTCATTGATTGATTCAGCACTTATTTATTAGGCACCCAGGATTCGTACATCTCACTAGGATTGGGGGTCTGCTGTGAGCAAGAGGTACGACCTCTAGCTCCATGGGGCTCAGACTGGAAGATGATATCCTAGAACCATCTTAGCTTCCATGAGTCATCATACAGCCCCTTGAAGACTCCTTCATTATCACTAACAGTAATGATGGAAATAGGCATGTATTATCTCATTAAGTTTTCTCAATGAAGAGACTCAAGCCGAGATTGATTAATGTGCCCTGGGTCATACCAGAAGCAATCGGATCTGTATTTATCCCAGTTCTCTCTGACACCAAAGCCTGGGTGTGTGTGTGTGTGTGTGTGTGTGTGTGCGCGCCTGGGGTGTGTGTGTGTGTGTGTGTGTGTGTGTGTGTGTGTGTGTGGCCTGGGACTGACAGGTGCTGGAGATGGAACCCAGGGCCTTGCCCATGCTAGGCAAGTGCTCTTCCACTGAGCAACACCCTCATCCCAAAGCCCAGGTGTGTTGCCTGCTGTGTGAGGTTCTTGTTTCTTATCAGGAATAGTTACAAGACACAGCCGGATGAAATATGAAATCTCATTTGTTATAAACTTTGAGTGATTTCCAAAGAGCCTCTATGGTCCCAAGGGGTGCCAGCCTCCTGCTCCCTGCAGTGACCGAGTGCCTTATCACTTCCTCTCTAGGTCCAACCCACAGCCCATTCCACCCCTAAGTGGAGATGTCCTGGCCACGATTCCCACCCTCTTGGCTGGCACACTTACTTTTCCCTTTCCTTGGGTCTTGTTTGCTTTTAATGGATTCCCTAATTAAACCACATCAAATCCTTTTTTGAAAGAGTTAGATTAGAAATCTATTTGTAAACATAAAGGACGTGGTCCTTCCAGTCCAGGGGGCACCCCAGCACCCTGGGCCTCGGTGTTACATGGCTGCCTTTGGCTGGGCAGGGAAATGTTTCTCGTAGCCTAAGATGTGGGACAAAGGAGAGGGTGGAGAGTTCCTATGAGGCTAAATGTAAGTCAGCAGTTTTAATAATGGGAAACAGCCTTCCTTTTTTTTTTTTTTTTTTTTTTAGCATTAAAAATGCCCTTTCTTTGAGGAACTGAAGATCAGGGGCAGTGGTGACTGTTGCTTGTGTTGTTGTTGCTTTATGTCCTTTCTTGGGGGAATAGAAAGTTGGCAAGAGTGTGCCCCGTGTTCTTTGTGACTTTAATAGCTGGTGAAACCTGAAATCTGAAAATAACTGCTAATTTAGGTCACTGGTTTTTCACACCGTTCTCCAGCCCTAGGATTCCTGGGGGATTCTGTCTTGGGGAGTGGGAGGGAGCCCCATGGAGAAACCCAAAGCCCTTCACCCTGTGTGGTTTTGTTTGGAGATTAAAGAGTTACCCCAACAAAAGCTGGAGAGTCCCTTCTCTAGGCTGGAAGGGTAGAGGGAGGGATGCTGTCATTTTGGTAGGGCTGAGCCAACTCTGTCCTCATTTGACAAGTGTCTCTTACCTAGGTACTACTCACGGTTCTCCAGAGCAACAAGCCAGTAAGGAATGGGGGAGGAGGGGATCTACATCTAAATCTCCCCCATATTCTCTCTCTCTCCTGATTGAGAAATTTATTTTAAGGAATTGACTCATCGCTGTGGGGACTTCGAGTTCAAAACTACAGGGCAGGCTGACAAGCTGATGTTGCATCTTGGGTGTGAAGACAGTGTGGAGGAAGATTTGCTTCCTTGGGACCCCTCAGGTTTTTCCCTCCAAGCTTCAGTTGAATAGATCAGGTCTAAACCATGTTATGGAGGGGAACTGTTTTTCTCAAAGTGATCTGCTTATATAGTCACCTTGCCTAAAAATGTACCTTCACAGGATCATCTAGGCTGATGGTTGAGTACGCATCCAGCTACTGTGTCCTAGCCACCTTGAAACATGAAATTAACCCTTCCTGCCTTTCACACCTGGGTGGCATGATAGGGTGACAGCCAGGGAAAACCAGGCCTGCTTCAAACCAGCCAGACTATGCATAGTAAGAATGGAGAACAAGACTTCTACATGTAAGTGTTGTCTCATAAAAACAAAATGTCAGAAGTATTTAGCGGTGATGATGGAGTGAGGCCTAGGAGATTTGGGAGATTTCCTGGTAGAGACTGAACAAGAGTTTTCAGAACTCGTAGGTGCAGAGACAGGAAGATGTGGAAGACCTCAAAACCAGAGTGGAAACTCAGAGGGTAGAAACAGCCGGCTGTCCAAACCATGCATCAGAAATATTTGGGAAAAATCGAGTCTGAACTGAGCATGTACAGAGTTCTATTTTTTGGCCATTATTCCCTAAATAATACAGTATAACTGTTCATATGGCACTTCATCGTATTAGGTATTGTAAGTGATCCAGAAATGACTTAGAGTACATGCGAGCATGTGTGTAGGTTGCGGGCAGACACCATGCCACTTTATAGAAGGTGCAGGAACATTCTTGGTTGGATGTTGGTATCCCTGGGTGTCCTGGAATCAGTCCCCCAGATATGGAGAGACACCTGTACTTCTCTTTATCCAGGACTTTGAATCTGTGAAGGGTTTTCACATGTGTTGTTTAATTGCTGCTTGCAACAAATGTGGTATTTTCTTTCCTTTTTTTTTTTTGGGCAGTACTGAGGTTTGAACTCAGGGCCTCGTTCTTGCTAGGCAGGTGCTCTACTGTGTGAGCCATTTCACTAGTCCTTTTTTTTTGTGTAGAGTAGTTTCAAGATAGGGTCTCTCAGACTATTTGCCTGGGCTGGCTTTGAACAATGGATCCTCCTGATCTCACTCTCCTGAGTAGCTAGGATTACAGGTGTGAGCTACCGACACCTGGCCAAATGTGTGTTTTAATTGAGGTCCAGAGGGGTTAAGAGATATATCAGAAACCACACAGCTTGCTACTGGCAAGGTCTTCCTACTCCACTCTTGTTCCCCACTCCTCCTGTGCTTCCCTCCTTTCTGGGTATAATGAAGTCTGTGTGAATGTGGGGTGTGGAATAGGCTTATGAGGAGCACTTTATCTTTTTTTTTTTTTGATGGTACTGAAGTTTGAACTTAGGACCTCATACTTGCTAGGCAGGTGCTCTATCACTTGAGCCACGGGGAACACTTTAAAAGGGAGAGAATAAATGTTTTCTTCACTGAGAATTCCTGTGAAATTGGGAATCAACTTGTCTCCTTTTGTGCCTTTCTCTCTGGGGTCCTCTTTTCCCTCTTCCCTACTCATTAACTCCTATTTTTTGTTTTGTGTTGTTTTCTTGTCCTGCCACAGACACGAATGCAGAGTTTGAACCCAGATCCCAAAGCCCAGTACACAAGTATCTACGGAGCCCTCAAGAAAATCATGCGGACCGAAGGCTTCTGGAGGCCCTTGCGGGGCCTGAATGTGATGGTGATGGGTGCAGGGCCAGCCCATGCCATGTATTTTGCCTGCTATGAGAACATGAAAAGGACTTTAAATGACGTTTTCAGCCACCAAGGAAACAGCCACCTAGCCAATGGTATTTTGAAAACCTTTGTCTGGAGTTAGACAGTTCTCCTCTTCAGCACAGTCTTCCCCGGGGCCTTCCTCCCCGTGACCCAGCAGCTTTCGTCTTCGGCAGCTTGCTCACGAACAAAGAACTCTAGGGTCGTGTGCACACACACCCACCCTGACACTCGCGCGTGCACACACATGCACACATGCTTTTTCTGTTCTCTTCCTTCGCTCTCCGAAGCCTGGGGGAAGTTGGTGGCAGAGGTGTTTCAGTTTTTATTGTCATGTGGGCTGATTTTTATTTGTTTTTTGCTTTTTTTTAAAACATTCAAAAGCAATTACTGATCAGATCTAGGAAAAAACCCGAATAGAAACAAACTTTTGAATGCTGGATTCAAAAAAACAAAAAATTATCTGGACAGCTTCTTTGAGACTATTTAAAAACTGGTACAGCAGGTCTCCACAGCGCCAAGATCTAACTAAGCTTTAAAAGGTCAAGACGTGTTATGGCTGACGAAGGAGTTGGGCCACTGCGGAAGGCCTTTTCCCACTTTGAGCTTCAGGAGATTCGGGGATCTTACCCCATCCTCCTCCGGGGGTCCGATTGCATCTCTCTGCAAGCAAGGGCTGAAATAGTTCTGTGTGGTTGACTCAGGGCGAGGGGTGGGGCTTGCACACCGGGGCCGGGTGGGGGGCAGCTCTTACATAAGGCACACTATACTGGGTTGATTCCTCCTGTCCTGTGGAGTTGACTTTCTAAATTTTTGTTTGGGAGTGGGATGGGAATATGTTTGTGTTTTTGTTTTTTGGTTTTTTTTTTTTTTGCTATGCGGGGTTTTGAACTCAGGGCTTCGTGCTTGCTAGGCAGGTCTTCTGCTGCTTGAGCCATACCCTTAGTGCTTGGGATGGTAGTATGGATAGCAACATAAAGCATCCTTCTTGTGATAAAATTCATTTTTCAACAGTGGGGCCGTAGATGTGATGTGTAATAACTTCCCCCACCCTTTTCTTTTTTTATTCTAATCAGAGAACTAAAAAGCATCCCTCCCATCAGCAAGCCTTGGAAATAAATGCACCTGCCTGGTTTGTAGACATTTCTGTGGCTTTTAAACTGTTGACCATTATTAGTTGCATTTATTGAGCCAGGTCACCAAGAGCCATGCTCTGATGCTTCCCTGAGCCTGTGACATTAGGCCCTCCTTTTGCCAAAGCTGCTTTTTAGAATGGTTTGGCCCCTTGAAGGAGGTTTGACAAACCCCGTTTATACCAAGGTCTGCCCAGTGCTGCCTCTGCACCTATGTGCTGTGTGCTATGGTTGCGTTTTGACCTTTCTGGGGATTACATCTGTGCGTGCAGGGCAGAGGGAGCTGTTACGTGCCTTTCTGAAGAGTTAGTGTGCTGTCTGTCCCTCCTCTTTCCCTCCTTCCACTGGTAGTTTTATTTACTGGGCAGTGCCACTACAAAGGGAGGAAATGCAAGGCCAAAGCAAAATTCCAGAACTTATTCACCCTTTGAAGTTCCTGGTTCTTGAAGCCAGGCCAGAGGAGACCCTGAGATGGGGCTGGTCTTGTACCAAACCAGTCATGGCATTGCAAAATTACCCTGGAAATCTATTAGATGCCAGGCTGCGTAACTTCCTCTTCTCTTACGCATTTTCTTAAAATTACCTGGATTTTAACTAAGGAATTACCTTTAAGATTCCACCCTCCCCAACTGCATACATATTATCCGTTTTGCTTACCTTGAGAGCATAGTGAGCTAATCTATGAACAGAAAATTACAATCTAGACAGTGGGAAATGCTACAAAGGGTGGTTTTGGGTACCACCCATTATCAGCGGGACTAGTTTTTGCCCAGGGTTGACAACAAGAATGGGAAGTTTCTATAAGGTTCACTTGAGGATACTGTGCTTATGTCACCCTCCCTGTTTCTATTTATTGTTTCCACTGTCACTTTAGGATCTTAAGCATTTGTGCTCACCTGGGCAGAGCTGCTAGTCAGCTTTGATCCTTAGAAAGCCAAGTGCAGACTTCTTCTGACTTTAGGTTCCAGGAACTTCCCAGAACACCCAGCTCCACAGGGTAATTTTCTGGAGTTTGTTTTGCAGGGATAGCTGGGAGTATGGCCACCCTGCTCCACGATGCGGTAATGAATCCGGCAGAAGGTAATGTCCTATGGTTCCAGGGAGGGACAGTAGGGGACATGCAGAGGGGCAGGAGAGAAGGTGGGTGGGAGTTGGGGGGCAGAAGGTGGGCAGGAGGAGTGGATTCTTGACTGCATTACTATTGGTATCAAGGAGCACAGGAAGAGTGGAGCCTTATGGTCTTTTTGCTGTGGAAAGGGAAATTAAACCGCTACTCAAAGTGTGGTCCCCATCCCTGCAGCCTCCAGAAGATGTCAAGAAGGGTGATCCCCAGGCCCTGCCCCAGGCCCACCAAGCAGAATCCCTGGGGTTAAGGGCTGGGACTGCATGAAGCTCTCTGGTGACACTTTGGCATTCTTTTCACTCCTAAAACCTGTGCACACACATGTGTGTCTACACACAAGCCTGGTCCTTGTTAACCTTTTGTCAACCCTAGGCCAATATAGGGAGAACCCATGAGAGGTCCTTTTTAGGGCTTGTACCTAATTTGCAATTTTTCTTAATTCCAAGTGATTACGGAAAGTTTCAAGCTCAGGCAAATGTAGGCAGAATAGAATTTTGAACCCCCATGTACTCCTTACTCAGCTCCAAAAATGAACATGTGGCCATTTTGGGGGCTATCTTCTCTTTTTCTTTTTGAATTTTGAGAGTATTCTAAAGTAAATCTTAGCTGTGCAGACTTGAGTACTGTTGTTAAGCTTCTTCTGTATCCTGGCATCCTCAGCCAGCTCAGATCTGCATAGAGAGGAAGTTTTAGGCCTGGTACTGGACATATCTTCATCTTGGTTATTCTCTACATGGCGTTGGCTGTATGTGACAGGTGGACTTCTCTCCACTTGTATCCCCTCACCAGAAAATGGTAACTTACCAGAACAGAGAATTGGAGAGCAAAATTTGAGCAGTTTAAGTCTCAGGTTATAAGTTTATCTGTTTTTTGTCTAAAGTTGAAATGTCTTACTTATTCTCTGCCATCTTCCATGTGTTAGCAGAGAGGAGACTTGTTCTGGTCTGCAGGGCCAAGCTGGGTCACCTTGGGAGATGGAGGGGAGGGGACTCTTTATCTCCCAGGTGCTAAGGTTTACAGGTGGACAGGTGAGGGAAAGCACTTAGCTCCTTTTATTCTGGTCCCCTCATTGTGCACAGCAGGACCTGCTGGAGCCAACCACACCTTTCTCTCTTTTATGTGTAAAGCAGAGAGCTCAGAAAGGCATCTTGCACACACTGTATCTCAAGAGATGCAAAGCCCTTAAGTAAACTTACCTGTCCCATGACTGTCCTGTAACGAATGCATTCAAGATGGTGCTTTGAGGCCAGGCAAGAGGTGTTCTTAGGTAGGCAGGATGTAGTTCACTGGAAGATTGATAAATTCCCCATAGGACATATTACAGTCATCCCTCAGTATTCACAGGGGATTGGTTCCAGGACCCCATGGGTACCCAAATTCATGGATTCCAGAATTCCCTATAGAGGATGGTGTAGCATCTCACATAAACTACACAATTCCTCTGTATTCTTACCTGTACAATGTACATGCTGTATAAATAGTCTCTTTACTATATTGTTTAGGGAGTAATAACAAGAAAAAGGTCCATACATGTTCAGTACAGACACATCTGTTCTGAGTATTTTTGATGCACAGGTGGTTGAATCTGTATGTGCAGAACCTGTGGCTTTGGAGGGCTGGCTGTATATCTTTTTTTTTTTTTTTTTAAGGTGATTCCTGCAAGGACTTGGTCAGTGACCAGTTAGTCCATGTTAACTAAGTAAGGATTTTGTTTATTTTTTTAAAGAATCTGTATGAGGCTCAGCTCCCTTGCCCTCTTCTTGTCATTTCTATTGAGTTAAGGTCTTTATTTCTTTAAAAATGCAGCATAACATGCGTGTTCATTTAACAGTATGTGACACCATTAAAACTCTTAGTCTAGGGAACACAGCCTCATTTCCTTTTCTGTGAACCACCAGTTACTTTTATATTAACAAAACCAGGGTCTGCACTGGGGATTCTCTCTGAGCTTGACAATTCTAATGTCCCAAGCGTACTGTGACACAGAAGCTAAAATCACCGTCAGAGACACAGACCCCTGAGAATAAGCAAGGGACACTCTTCTACTAGATAGGCAGAGGTCAGGGTGGAGGAGGGCAGAAGGGCCGGGGGCAGGGCTCAGATGCTGGAGATCAGTGGCAGCCAGAATCTGGGAGATCAGGTCAGCTGATGTAGGCAAAAGTGGCTCCACCTTACTGGAGATTCTGGTAGGAGACATTTGTGGACGTCACCACAAATGTCTCTAAGTCCCGGAGACAAAAGTTGACTTGGGGCTGCCTTGGAGCATGGCGTCCTAAGCTGGGGCTGTGTGTGCTCGCTCCGTGTACCCATTACCAGTGTGTCTAACATGCTTGTTTCTCTTTATTGGCTTGGCTTCATTTCACTCCGACCCGGGGTGGGGCCAAACCAACCACCTGCCTGCTGGCTCCTGCCTGGCCTGGCCTGGCCTACCTATCCTGTGGCCCTGACACAGTGGTGAAGCAACGCTTGCAGATGTTCAACTCTCAGCACCGGTCAGCCCTCAGCTGCATCCGGACGGTGTGGAGGACCGAGGGGTTGGGGGCGTTCTACCGAAGTTACACCACGCAGTTGACCATGAATATTCCCTTCCAGTCCATCCACTTCATCACCTACGAATTCCTGCAGGAGCAGGTCAACCCTCACCGGGACTACAACCCACAGTCTCACATCATCTCAGGTGGGCTGGCCGGGGCCCTGGCTGCGGCTGCCACCACCCCCTTGGACGTCTGTAAGACCCTCCTCAACACGCAGGAGAACATGGCACTCAGCCTGGCCAACATCAGTGGCCGGCTGACAGGCATGGCCAATGCCTTCCGGACAGTATACCAGCTCAACGGGCTGATGGGCTACTTCAAAGGCATCCAGGCACGGGTCATCTACCAGATGCCCTCTACCGCCATCTCCTGGTCCGTCTATGAGTTCTTCAAGTACTTCCTCACCAAACGCCAGCTAGAGAGTCGAACGCCATACTAAAGGAACAGGCTGTGGGAAGTTGCTTCCGGCATCTTTTGTTTGCAACAGGCTTCCCCTGCCTGGCTGTCCAGTGTCCTCACTCCTAGGTCCTTCCTGCAGGGTGCTTGTGCCAGGCCCTCTGCTCCCTGGTGCCTTAGAAAGAAGGGAGGACTGGATGACCACTGACCCAAAGGCTGTCTGTGGGGACATCCAAGGTGGTGGTGGACAGGAGGACTTGGGAAGGGGAGCGAGAAGTGGCTTAGTCTCCTTCCCCGAGAGGAATGTAGCTTTTCTGCTTTGCTGTGGCAGTCAACTCCCTAGGTCCTTAGATTACACCACAGGGAAGAAGAAATACAGTGAGGGAACACGTTAAAGGAAGAGAGTTTATGTATATAAAAGATCCATTACACAGTCTAAAATAGGTGGATAATGTTTATCCTTTATTTTTCTACATAGAAGTTTTTGAATTTGTGTGTGTGCTTGCGCGTGTCCATAAATACTTTGATCGCCAGAATAATCAAGCTTTTTTAAAAAAAAATAAGAGGGCTGAATCTTTCCATCAGGCTCAGTAAAAAGGCACCAAAGTAATAAATGGCTGAATATGGCCTAAAGTTGTGTGTAGCACCCCCCCAGGTGGAAGTTTCACTTGAATGTAAAACAATAAATATTAAGCTTATCTTTTGAATTTCTCTTTTAATGGGGGGAAGAGGTACGTTGAAAAAAATCAAAATGATATCTATTACTTGCAGCTACTTTTTTTTTTTTTTAATTTAATCACCTTCATGTGCCTTTTCCCTTTCTTTCTTAAAAGTTTCAGGACCAAAGAGAGGGTCCTGGCACATTTTCTCCCACTGTGTACACACAGTGCTGGGCAGCAGGGTCACCCACCCTGTAGGGTGCTGGCCCCAGCAGAATTAAGATGGCTGGCCTTAAGCCTGTGTGTTTCCTTCCTTGTGAGTGATGTGTCTGTCTCCCTGGTCAGCACTTAGAAGCTGGATGTGCCAACACTTGGCTGCTTGCTGAGCAGATCACGGGAATAAATCTGCCTCTATTGTAGGACTTACTTCTTTATCAACCTTTTTCTCAGGCACTTAGGTAACTTGGTCTATGTGTTTTGACCAAGTCGCCTCCTAATCCATTTCCCCCTATAGTCTAGAGATTTTTAGAAACATGGCCAGTGTATCTGTGGCACGTCTCTAGCCTCCTACCCTGCCTGTCTCAATCATTAATTCCCTTATCACAGCCTCTCACTGCATTTTGACAAGGCCAGACCCTCCATCTGGAGCCCCACAACCAAAGCCTAACCTGGACCTTCATGTCCAAGGCAGAGGCTGCCCTTCCTGCTCTTTCCTCAGCCTTCTCTGCTCCATGTCATCAAAGAACATGAGGCCTCACTGCTTTTGTTTTCTGAAATGGACTCATTGTCACTAAGAGAAAATATAAGCCTGTGTCCTCTAGCTATACCACTCCGTGTGTTTCCAGACTGATGTCTACCATTCCCTCTTTCAGCCTCAGTTTCATTTTTTGAGCCTTTCTCACCAGAATCTGATATAAATGAGCAGGAAGCACACGTGTGTTTTTGTTTTGGCAGGCCTGGTCTCTACCTGCTACCTGAGACATGGCCCAAGTGGTTCCTGGGGGCTCTGGCCTGGGCTCCTGTGGATGGTGCAGCACCCGAGAAGCATCTAGCTTGCACTTGGAGAGTTTTTATCTCCTGGCCATGTCCATAGTGCCTAGGGTGTAGCTTTCATTTTTGTTCTAAGAGCTTTGAGCAGTTCTATAATAAAACAGTTGACTTCCTTTTTCAGATCATGGGTAGGAGAGAGCTACCTTGGGACCTCCCATGTGTGTGCCCCAGGGCCTTGCTGCTGGACTGGGGGTTGGATGCTGGCCTGTCCTGCTTGGGGAAACACCTGCCACTGCATGGAAATCAGTAGGCTTCTGTGCATACAGATAGGGCGTGGCGGCCATGAAAATGTTTACATCTACTCTTACCTGGCCTTGGGCTAATGTTAAGTAGTGCTAAGTTCTGCAAATGAAAGGGAAAGTGTAGAGGCTAAAGTAGAATTTAAATTATATCCTAAAAAATTATTCCCATCACCTCTTTTTTTTATCCACTTCATGTTCCCTGCTGCAAAGTGTCTCCTGTAGGATTTGTTCTCAGTGACAGTTACAACAGAACTTGACTTCTTTGGTTAGGGAGCTATGACATGGAGAGGGAGGACTCTTGACTTCAGAGCTCTGCAGGCTCAGTCTGAGGGTCTAGCCCTGGTTTTCCCTCACTATGATGATCAATGAATGAGCTGGGGACAGCCACCTGTCCTCCGACCTACCCCACCTGCTAGCCCAGCCCACTGATGGTCCTGAGGTTGAGTGAGTGATGTATCTGAAAAAACTTTAGAAAGTTGTGAAGCAGTAAGCAAGGTATAAATTTTTTTTTTTGAGAATGAATTCTCTTACCTTTAGCTCCGAAGTTGATTATAGCCCATGTGTTGATTTGTGATTTTGACATTGCAAAATGCTACAGAGGTAAAAGCTCTGCCTCCACCCAGCAATCAGTGCCACGCAGTCATGGCATCCTCTGTGTTAGCATCTTGGAGTGGAATCTGCAGCCTGGCAATGCCACCTGATTGTAATACTCACATCCACTCACTAGCTGCCCTGCTTACACCCATGACTTGGGGTTAAACCATTTGTAGATTGGTTTTATTTTAAAACAAAACATTGATTTTTTTTTTTCCAAATGGGATAAATCCATCCAGGACTTTTTTTTTTAACTTTGAATAGAGCTATTTACAGGCCTACTTCTATGTGTGTTTGTTTCTCTCTCTTTTTTTTAATGCTGAGGCTCTTAATCCAAGACCCATCCTCCTATGGTCCCCTAAGGCTGTATCTCCAACATGTTGTTATATCAATAAGGTTTTATTTAACTTTATTTAAGAGTGACTGTGTCTGTGAACTACCAATGTACTGCTGCTTCCTACCTGTAAGACACACTGTGTGTGAAAAGGGTGAGCAAGTGTTATTCCCTCAATGTCTTAGATGCTTGTAGTCAAGATTGTTTCTGCCTTGTGCCATTTCTGCCAGCTCTCTGAACAGGGGGAGCAGTATGTGTTCACATGTGGGGATGTTTCTGAAATGCTGCTACAGTTGTAACACTGGAGCTGGAGAGAATAAAGCATTGATCTTAAAAACGTCCTGGGCTTTGTGGGGAATACAGAAATGATGGGGGGGTGTGTAGCACAAGAAGCCCACTGGTGGGGGCCCATCTGTTGTGTGAGGGACCACTGGGAACAACTTGGCTGGGAACTGCCCTTTCCCCATATAACAGACCACTGCCTTGCCATCAGGAGGCGCTCCAGTGGTCACCAGGACAGGCTGGGGGCCTCCTATTGGCTTTGTTCACTGTCCTGGGCTGGTGGTAGCTTTTTTTCGGTGCAGTAGACTATGTGGTACCCTGGAAAATGCTGTGTTTGTATCTGTTTTCTCTCACACACATTCCTCGTCTGGGAAGGTCAGTCAGGACCCTCTGTTTGGAGAGGGGCCTGAGAGGAACCAGAATCCAGGCTCCCTAAATGTTCCAATTAAGCCAGAGAACATAATCTTTCCTAGAGGTGAGAATCAGGGAGCCTCTTTGGAAGCTGGGGAACTCTTGATTCTTTTTCCACAGAGTCATGAGTCAAGGTCAGAGACCTTAGCATGGCCAAGGAAGCCCTTAGCAAAGGTACAAAGTTGGAATGGAGGGCAGACCTGAGAGCCAGCCATGAGCACTGGTGCCAGAGGTGGACAGGGATGCTAGGCAGAGGGTATTAAGACATACCAGCTTCCTGCCTTGTCATTTTATCAACAGCCAGCCCTGAGTGACTTAAAATTCACTTGTGGCTTAAGGTTGCTTCTCAGCTGGAGTGGGACTCAGGTATGCCTTTGAAGCCACTCACCATATTCTTCCTGTCCCTGCCCCCAGGATCTCAGCCAGCAGATATGCAGTGCCTCAGGTGAGTTGAGCTTCACCTGGAGCTATGGGGCAGGGAGGTATAAGATTTGACCCCTCCCTTGGCTGTGCAGCCTAATAGAAGAGTACGAGGTGAGACTTGGACTGTCTTAATAGACTTGATCACTTCCCTCCAAGATGGCAGTGACGGTTGCCATGGAAACCACATAGCATCATGCCTGTTGAACCAAGCTCCAGGGAACAGCTGACTTGTTCATCAGCTTCCCTGCTTAATCCCAGCCCGTGGTGGCTGGAACTAGCCCTGCCCCAGCTTCCTGGTGCTGATTGTGTGACTTCTAGCTTCACATTGTCCTATTGGTAACTTGAGGTCAGCCACAATGGGGTCATTTACACCACTGAAATTGGCAGGCACTACAAATTCAAGCTTTTGTGTTTTTAAGAACTGTCAGCAAGGCTGGGCACCAATGGCTCACGCCTGTAATCCTAGCAGATTACTCAGGAGGCAGAGATCAAGAGGATCACGGTTCGAAGCCAGCCCGGGCAAATAGTTCACGACGTAGCACAGTGCTTGATGTGTGCTGTGTTCAGGTTTTTGGAGAGAAAGACGGTAGGTAGAACTGTTCACCCTGGTATCCCAGTTTGTGCTACTTCTCAGCTCCCGGTCTACCTCCTCTCACTCAGGAGCCATCTCCAGAATGTCCACACACAAATTGGAGCCCTAGAAAGTTCTTAAAAGGAAGGCATTGTCTTCTGGATTAGGATCTTTTTACTGTCTTGAGTTCCCATGAGCTTCACTAGGTTAGTCACCACTCCCAGGAAATTTCTCCACTCCAACCCATGGGAGGGGCCTTAATGGGACAAACATTTCATCGACTAACCCCAATGTACTGGAGACAGGCGGACACCAGTGGGAGTTGAGTGGAGGTGGCTTGCTATCGCTTACAGGGGAAAGCTTCGTCTCTGGTCTCAGGCTGGATACAGGGAGTGGCCTCATCAGAGTAATGAATGCAGTTTGGAAGAACAAAGTGGTCTGAGCCAAAAGAGCTTTGTGGGAGATGTTTTCACAGGAAGCTGCTGTAAGAGCTTAGACTGGCCTTGTAAGAAGTGTGACCCTCAGGCACCAGGCTATGGGAGACTTGTCCAGGGTCTTTGGAGAGGGGATACCATGACAGAAAAAGCCATCCAGCAGAAGTGTATAGGACTGAGTGTGGGGAAGGAATACTTAGGGGTGGGGTAAGGCAGTCAGTTTGGTGTCACTGAGATTTTTCCAGAAGAGGGATGACTAAGAGGCAAAGGAGAGTGGACTAGAATGTGAGGGCCTTGAAGGAGCATGAGGTTGGGGATGCCCGCCTGTAGGGCCAGCTGAAAATTGCTGCTGAGAGAGGAAGACCTGGCTGGCAGGACCAGCAGGTGGTGGCAGAGCAGTTGCAGGGTTTCTCAGTCCGCATCTTCTTGCCCACACATGAGGACTCCCACTCTAGCTCCCCTCCTTCAGGTCACACACCCTTGGGACTACCTTTTGTGGTCCCCCACTGGCTTATCTCCTTCTTGGCCACCTAAGTGTTGACTACTTGCCTGTGGCTGGACTTCTCATCTCTCCATAGCCTCTCAGGGGTGATCTGGCTTTGAATCCAAATCCACCTGATCTCTGCCTCCTGAGGAGCAAGGATTATAGATATGAGCCACTGGTGCCTGGCTGGCTTTTGCATTCTTTGTCCCTGGCTTATTTTCCCCTCCCCTTGCTCTTGCCTTGTTGGGTTCTCTTAAATCCCATCTTCACCAAGTCCCATCACCATTCCTAATGTAACTAATGGGATAGTCCGATGGTTACCTAAAGGCAATAATTGGAGAAGACCTCACAAAGGGCACGTATCAGGCTTGTTTATGAAAGTGAAAGGCTGGAAAACAAACTTTTAAGTCTGTTTCTCTTAAGAAGTTAAATGAAATTGGGTGCAGTGAGTCACATCTGTAATCCCAGCTACTCAGGAGTCAGAGATCAAGAGGATCATGGTTTGAGGCCAGTCCAGGCAAAAAGTTAGCAAGACTTCCATATCAGTAAGCTGGGTGTGCTGGTGCACATCTGGAATTGTAGCTACACAGGAGGCTTAGGTAGGAGGATCTCAGTCTAGACCCGCCCTGGAAAAACAAGACCCTGCCTGAAAAATAATGAAAGCAATGAAAAGGTTAGGAGTGTGATTCACGCCTCAAGGTGCCTGCCTAGCAAGCATGAGCCCAGAGTTCAAATCTCATTCCAACCAGATGGCAGTTTAAGTTTATAATCCCAGCCACTCAGGAGGCAGAAATCAGGAGGATTTTTGTTCAATGATAGCCTAGGCCAAAAAAAAAAAAGTTCATGAGATTCCATCTCAAGTGACTGGGGACAGGGGGTGGCATATGCCTGTCATCTCAGCTACATAGGAAAGCACAAAACACAAACAGGAGGATGGGGTACAGGCTAGTCCCTGCATAAAGCGAGACCTTATCTCAAAAATAACCAACTCAAAAAGGGCTGGTGGAGTGGCTCAAATGGTAGAGTGCGTGCCTAGCAAGTGTGAGGCACTGAGTTCAAATCCCAGCACTGCCAAAAAGAGTTAAGTGATTTATATAAGGTCCAGGTGGGCTTGGTGTTTTCAAAGGAAAGAAGGAAATCTCATCCAGGGCCCTCATCCAGCTCTCATAGTTAGAATCTCGATGTACTTACACATTTGTCAAATTTGAGAATACACCCAAACTTCCCCATCTCTCGATGCCTGGGGAAACTCCTGACCTGTGACAGAGTGAATATTAGCTATGATTTTAGAATCCCCGGTTCCTGTTGACATGGCTTCTGGATGTGCTCTTTGCTCTGTTCTGAGAACATGGAGACTTACTTTCCACGGTAAGTGGGATCCTATACCCGCGCTACTTCCGAGAGACCCCTGAGCTCCTTAGCAGGGAGACAGCCACTTGTGTCCACTGCCATTGGATACTCCTCTGTGAGAAGAGAAAAATATAATTCAAGGTCATGCCGGCAAAGCTTCAGTCTTCAACCCAAGGCCCTTGAAGTGTAAGTGTGGGCACGGCCTTGGGGTCCCTGTTCATTTCTGTTGTCTAAAAGCTTCTGGGAAACAACAGCCAACCGAAACCTTGAGAAGCAATGACCTTCACTGTGGACATCTGGGTTCTTTTTGTGACATACTGGCCGCTGGGTGGCTGTCTTTAGGGGAAGTGGTTTAGAAAGAAGTCGGGGGAACTGTGGCTAGGGGCATTTGTTTTCAACAGTGTGACTTCCTCCTAAAGACGGAAGGTAGTCTCGGTGGATGCCTTTACTTTGGGTTGACAAGTGACAAACACACATCTCAAGATTGGTATTTTGAGCCTGATGAAACCAGCTGAGTGAACTGTTGCCACACGTCCTCTACCATCCCCGCTATATCTGGGTAAAGTTTGGAATAAAACCAAGCACATCTCAATGGAGAAACTCCCTAAATAGCTATATACAAAAAAAAAAAAATGACTTTTTTCAAAAATGGAGAACAGGAAGGTAAAACAGGTCCTATCTGGGAGTTGGCACCAGTGGGAGGGGTGGATGCAGGGAAAGGGTGAAGGAGGGTGAATGTGGTGGAGATCTTATGTACGGGAGTATGAAGATGGAAAAATGAGACCTGTTGAAACTGTTCAAGGAATGGGGGGAGAAAAAGGGGAATGATGGAGGGGGTGAGTTCACTATGATATATTCTAAGAACTTTTGTAAATGTCACAATGTACCCCAAGTACAACAATAATTTTAAAAAAGGTTAAAAAAATCTGAGTGGAAGTCATTATGGTTATCCATAAAACCTTTTGTCTGTAGTTCAGGGTTTCATGAGATTTTAATGAGTGTTGTTTTTTGTGCCACTTGGTTAATTTTGTTTTATAGGCCTAAGCTGGCCTCAAACTCGTAACCCTCCTGCCTCTTCCTCCTAAATGCTGGGATTACAGACATGTCCCACCACGTCTGATTTTCAACCTAAAAAATCCTTGACAACAGTAGAATACCCAAGGTTGACGGCAGTGCCCAGACTTCAACCACATTGGTCCAAGACTAAAAGCAGCACCAGCCTGGAAACTGGTGACACCTAAGTGCTCCACTTCCCTTTGATTCTCAGTGCTCTAGCACTTCCGGTGACCTTACCCATGACTTGGCACTATGGTCCTTTTGGGGTCTTCAAGGGGACCCAGGGTCTGAGAGCAAGCTGTGATGCACAATTCCTGCTCATGTTTCCCCTCAAGTTCGTGATGTGAGTGAAATCTGGACAAACTTCTCATTAAGAATGTCATGATTAATGGCATTAGGAAGGCACTCATACTGGGAAGAGCAGCTAGGAGAAAAGAATGTTTAGAAGGAAAGGGTGAACCAACCTGAGCCTATCACTCATCATGGTAGAAAAATGTCATTTGTGGCACCTGCGGTTCTGAGCCTCCTCCCGCTCCAGGGAGCGAGGGTTACCGGTAGCACTCATTCCAGAGGTGTTGCTCAGAGTCTTCCTGTCATGCTTCATCTGATCTGACACTTCCTGTTTTGAAGAATGGATTTTTGCTGATTTTTTTAATTTAGATCACAATCTTTGTTTATTGACACTATCTTCAACTTCCACCTTGGCCTCAGTAACTTTTGTTTTTAAGAATCAGCAACTTTCTAAAAGCCTAATTTTAAAAATACACAGTTACCTGATTGTAAATCCTGGTGCAAGGATAAATTTTTATTTGTTGGTGTAATGAAGGAATTTATTTGCCCTGGTCCATTTTACACCACTGAGCACTTAATGAGTGGGTCACTATGTCTGGAGGCCTGGGAGGTCACCAACTGGTTGGGCAGTCCTGGTTGATCTTGCGTATATCACTTAATCCCTCTGGCATACGGTTTCCTTATCTGTAAAATGAAAGGGTTGGGCCACATGACAGGTAACAGCTTCTCCCCAGCCTGTGTAATTA